GGGGGCTGGAGCTGGGGCGGCGACGGGCTCAAGGGGCCCCCAGCGGGTCGGACCCCCGGGGGCACCCAAAGGGGTCAGGCGGGACCCGGCCCCGGGGAACTCATTTTGATCCCCCTTTCAATACTCTGACATTTGGAGCGGGGCGGTGGACCCGCCACCACCTCAAAGCTAGCCGAAAGCGTCCCCCTCCTGCCCCTGGCAGCGCACACAACCTGTGCCCCGCCACGACCTGCCACGCCCCGCCACGCCCCGCCACGCCCCGCCACGCCCCGCCATCCGCACACACTGCGGACCACAAGTCGTCGTGACGTCGGGGATGGGTCTGTCTCTGTCGCACTAATTGCGGCCGTGAAGGAAGTGGGCTGGGAAAGGGGGAGGGAGGGGCGGGCACGAGGCGGGATGGGACAGCGAGATGGGGCGAGTAGACATTACCGCACAAGCACGAAATACGTTCATCAACACGACGCAAAACTGAAGCAAAATTCTGTGGTACATATAGTGGCGCCTGATGAGTCCTTTTCTTATTCATTAAGAAAAGAAAACAAAATGTACGCTTACGGTAAATTTTAACCGGACTCACCAAAGCGCTAGCAAGTTGTACTGATCAGGCCCCGGCTCGCTTCCAAAAGCACGACGTACCTGGAAACGTGGAAAATGTGTCAATTAATTACAATATTCATCATGCATTCACAACAGTGCCGTCTTCAAAAGTTTCGTGCACCGTCACAACGGTCTCAACACAACGAGAAGTGAGCAGACCGTCTCAAACTTGGAAATGATTTCCCACCCTCTCTATTGTTAGAGTCTGCTTAGCAAACTATTTAATCAGCATGTCTGGATGCACGATGCACGCGGTTGGATTTTCAATGAGTGCAAAACGATCTGAAGTCAAAGGGGATACGAAATACATTCGTAAATTTACATCACCAGCGTTTTACCTGGTAACACAAAGTAATACAAATGTAAAAGCGTGTGCTCCGAACGAGTTTTCTAATAAAAGAACGCCCGGTCGGACGCGCCGAGTCCGAGTTTCCCTCCTCGAGCCCGACACATCCCGACACAGCAATGCTTTCCATTCAATTACAGTCCATCCCTTCGCTTTGAGCGGGCAGCAGATCGAAATCAATCCCCTGTAGCCGCCCGCCGCCCCCGCTCTGCCCGCAGTGCCCGCCGGCGGCCGTGGCCCGGCACCGCCCGGCAGGCCCTGCCGGACACCACAATTGTTTCCACTACAGCCGCACCTCCACCTCCCGCCCCACACACTTACAGTTTGACCTTCGGCCCCCTCCCCCCTTTTCCAACCCTACAACTCGCTGCTCTGCTCTGATTCCCCTTTGATTGCTTCACTTCCATTAATTGATTTTTGCTCAGCAGCGAGGTCTGCGCCGGGCTGTGCGGCCCGTGCAGCCCATCCCTGATGAACAAACTTGGAAAACACGCGCCGGCTCAGAGCTGCTCCGCGATTCGAACCCTCTCTAGAAGTCAGAGCGTCACTACCCACTTCGACCCGCTCTGCGGAGCTCTGCAGCAGGGCGCTCAGGCACACTGCGAGGTGGGAAAAAGTGTAGGATGAGCCGGTA